CATCAGTGTAAAAGGAGAGCGGTGCCGCACCGTCCAATAGCGAGGCCGGCTTCTGGAGACGACCTCCTGCTTCCAGGCGATCTGCTAGCCAACCACAGAGGACGCGAATCATCGTGGGTAGCGTGAGGAGCCCTAGCTTCCCCTGGATAGCCGAGGACCAAGCATGTAGCGGTCCCAGGAAGGGGCGCTCCCAGTCTAGCGCCATGGAAGCGAACCCCAGACGCCCTAGCCCCTGTGCGAAGGGTCGGGACTCACACTTCCCATCTCGGACTAGCTTCCGTAGCCATTCCACTAGCCAGTCGGTTCTCTTCTGAGACAGGCCTAGCCTCCAGGTGGAGTACTCCGTTTCCATGCCTAGCCACTCCACCCGAAATCCCCCCCTCGTCTTGGCCCATTTGAAGGGGTACCCAAGACTAGCGAGGAAGAGGTAGCTGAGCGGGATCCCCATGCGTCCTCTAGCCCCTCGGCCCAAGGACTCGAGGTCGTCGGCATAGAGTAGCATGTCTAGCGGGAACATGGCCCTAGCAGGTGGTACGTGAGCCGAAGCCCACACGCCGCTATACGGGTCCACCAGTAGCTCGCACATGATAGCCCGAAGGTTCCCACCAGATTCACGTAAACCGTCTGGCTGTCGGGATCCCCCGGTATAGCTTCCTCGGTGTCGATCTGACACCCTAGGTAGCCATGCTCTCCTTCGGCATGCTTGTAGCGTCGGTGAGCTTTAGCGATGTCGCCCACCACGGAGAAAGCCACCTCGTTAGCGTCGATGTGCTCCCGAAGTAGCTGCTTCTTCTCCCTAGCCCCTGGGGCCCGGATCTTGTCCCGGCACTTGATGCGGTGGTTTGACCCGGACCTCGTGGGTAGCGTCGTGGATCATCCTCTTCTTTCCACTAGCTTCGTCCTCAACGATGACGGCTAGCGCTCGCCATAGCGGGCCTTGAACTCGCCTAGCGTCATCTTGGCCATGAGGCGCTCCGCCACGTCCTCTTCGAACTTTTCCCTAGCGAACTCGCGGTACTCCTCCACCGAGGAGTAGTTCGGGACCCAGGCTAGCGCCGCCTCCCAAGGGGCGTTCTCCAAGGGCCACTTTAGCTGTTCCTCAAAGACGTGGGGAGTGCGTGGTAGCGGGTCTCTCACCACCGGTAGCCCCTCCTCGGCCTGGAGGAGGAAGTCCCTGTGGGATCGCCGGCCGCGGTCAGTAGCGCCCGGATGAGGCGGAGGTATAGCGGTTGTTCTGGGGCCACCTTTAGCAGTTCCGGGTCTCCCAGGTCATTAGCCTCCAACCACTCTTTCCAGATCAAGCGTAGCTGCTCCTGGAGTTCTTCGGAGCTAGCTAGGGCACAGCCCTTAGCCCCACCGGCAGCCATGCGGAAGGCTTCCTTCTCTAGCTCCGCCTCCGAATCCATTTTAGCGAGGATCACCTCCATCATCTTCTCCCGTAGCCAGTCCCAATTGGGACCCTCGGCGTAGCTGCGGGTAGCGTGGGGGGCCAGCGTCCTGGAGAGCAGAGGCCCCCACCATCATGGTAGCTCTTGTTGCCACCTAGCTGTTGGCTTGGTGGTCCTGAACCCCCTAGCACTCGCGGACCCTCGGGCTCACAGGTCGGGAAGGTCTCGGGTAGCGGGCACTCCGGCCTAGCGCCACCCCCCTCCCCCTGGGCAGCGGTAGCAGGGTGCTGGCAGGAGTCCAGAATCAGGGTAGGCAGCCTGGCACATCCTAGCGGGCCACTTTTCGGAACCTGAGGTCTTGAAGGGGCCCTTAGCGGGGGCTTGAACATGCGTCCCAGAGTAGCAGCATCAGGCAGCGGTCCTGTGTAGCAGCCCTTTTTGTCATAGCACGGCAGGCCTTCGTGTACAAAGTCGGGCATAGCAGAAGAGCACTTCAGCAGCAGCCGTGTCGGCTTAGCGTATGGCGTACCAAAACTAGCCTGGTGGAAGGCCACGGTCCGTAGCCCCTTTTGCAGAAGGTCGGCTAGCGGCGGCCACTGCCACATAGAGGCCGGCCGTGTCCCTTGGTGCGGACCCTTAGCGAGGGCTCCAAGGTCCTCGGGCTGCTCCATTGCAAGAAAAGTAGCTGCACCGTCGGCTACGAGGTTAGCGACCTCGAAGCTGAAATCCGCAAAGATGTTGCCCAGTATAGCGCGCTCTCTCTCAGCAGGTGTTAGCGTGTCCAGACCCCGGGGACATTCATAGCTTCGCACGGGGCGGGGCCCCTGAAAGTTAGCCCAGGGAGCTCTGGAGAAGCTAGCGCACGGTGGAGAGAGCACGACCGCATCGAATTCCTTGTTAGCTATGCGGTCCAGATAGCCTTGCCGGATCTTGGGCTGGCTAAGGTCGTATTTAGCGTGTCGCAGAAGATCGACACACTCGACCCGTACATCTAGCCCGAGTTCGTCGGCTAGCTGGTGCAAGCACTGCGCCACATCTAGCCGGCGCGATGTACCAGAGAAAAGGTAAAGCACCCGTAGCGGCTGTGCAAGCGTAGCGGCCGCCGGAGCTGGCGTAGCATCCCCCCTGGGGGGGGTCACAGGCACTGAGGGCGCGGCCGCCATAGCGGGTCAGTTGGAGGGTTTGTCCTCCTTAGCGGCCTCCGTCTGCTTCTTGGTGGGGCGTAGCGGGATGCTTTCCGAAGCATAGCGAGCAGACGTGCTCGAAGTGGCACTTGCTGCCATTCTTGCAACCCTTGGCGTTGTAGCGGAAGCAGATGGGCTTCCCTTGCGGGGTGCGATCGACACCCAGACGCTTCTTAGCCTTGCCCCCCTTGGGGGCGTCTTTGCCTTTGCCCTTCCCCTTGGGGGTCTTAGCAGGCCGCTCCTCTGTCCAGGTCCAGGGCTGTGGCCGTTTAGCATGGAGGGCTAGCGGCGTGGTGAAGTGCCTCTCCTTCACGCTAGCGTCCTTGTAGGCCAGGACTAGCGCGGCGCCGAAGGAATAGCCGGCCGTGGCCATGACCTTGTACGCATGCTTCCTGATAGCGTGCTCGTAGCTGAGCACCAAGGGCCACGGGGGCACTAGCGACCCCGAGTCGGCGCTAGACCGGAGACCATAGCAATAGTCTCCGAGGAGATAGTCCTTGTAGCGCTCGAAGAGGGCCATGGTGACATCCTGTAGCTCAGCGTGTCCGGGTCCCACTCGTCGCGGCTGATGACCTCGGTTAGCGGCTCCGCCCGGAACTCGCCAGATTCGAGCTCGCCTAGCTTCTTCTCAATGTACTCTTTAGCGGGAGTCTGCTTGTCCTCCAGGTCTCCGAACTTAGCGGTGAAGGCCTGGCGCATGGCCATGTAGTCGGTAGCGGGGATGGGCTTTGCCCAGTCCCGGACCTCGCTTGTAGCCTCCGCCTCCGCTTGCCGCTCGGCGCGGGAGTTAGCGGTCCTCCATGCGATGGTGACCCCCGCGGCCTGAGCGCGGCTAGCGAGCGAGGTGGACGGCTCAATTGCAAAGCTGTCCTTTAGCATCTTCTTGAGGTCCGCCTCATCTGTCGCCGAGGCTGCAAATTTAGCGACGGTATCAATACCGTTGGAAAAGAGCTCGGATTGGATAGCGTCCGAGACTTTATGCTGCACTAGCAGGAATCGAAGCTCGCTGCTTCCGAGGGCTAGCTTCTTTGCCAGAGCCTCTGCCATGGTAGCAGGCACGACGGGCCCTACGCCACCCTAAGAAAATCTTCTAAAAGAAAATTCCTGCTAGCACATTGGGGAAAAGCTCCTAGCGTGAGAGTGTATGTGGGGAGTGCCAGTCGATAGCTTTCGCTGAAAGGGGGGCAGAGAGCAGCCCTAGCAGCCCCACCGACCCCGGCCCCCCCCCTCAGTACTCTCGACACTCTCTCGCTCTAGCTTTCCCTTCTTTCTGGCTGCCGACATGTGTGTAGCATGGACTGTAGCGTGCACACACTGGCAACCGTAGCAAGGGACGACCCTGTTTTTGCTGCGGCTAGCGGTCGGCAGCAGAGGGCGCTGCAAAGGTAGCCGCGTGCAAAGACAAAAGTAGCGGGTGCAGGTAGCGAGGCCGGGGCCTGTAGCGAGGCAGGGGCTGCCTTTTTAGCGGCCGCCCCAGTCCTCCCCGCGGCTCCACTGCTTGCACCCATCACAGCAGTGAGTAGCGTGGTCGTCGCACTTGAACCACATACGCCTGTTGCAGGCTCTTAGCGAACAGACCTCGCAGGTCGTAGCGCACCTGAAAATACAGGCGTTAGCGTCCCAGTGGCCCAGGGAGTAGCGGCAGCGTCCAGGCTGGTACTGGGTATAGCAGCTTGGCAATAGCATGGCCAGCAACTCGCTAGCTCTCTCCCCTTGGGGCGTGCTAGCGGGAGGATGGGCGTAGCGGCACATGCCACGTCCTCCCGGCCTAGCGAGTAGAGGTGCTCTCCACTGTGGATAGCGTTCTTCACTTCACTAGCGTGTTGTCGGCACCTTTGCCGTAGCGGGGGTTGGGCCCCTTGCCCTTCCCCTTCTCGAAGCGCTGGTCCCAGGAACCTAGCGGCCACAGATCGCGGTCAATAGCGGACCACGAGAGCTCGAGGTACCAATAGCCCTTCCCTTTGGGAAGGCTGTTAGCGTGGGCCCCGGGGGGTGCCTGGCTCTCCCCTTTAGCGCTGTGAACTGAATACAGTTCCCACTGGCAGCTTCCAAAGAATCTCAGCAGTCTGAAGATTTGCCCCAAATCCAGCTGAAGAGAATATCAGAATGATAAGAGAGAAATGACAGACCCGGTCAGTCGATAACAAGTGCCCCGCACGTTTCACCAGCGCTCACCGGTCCATGCGTCGTCCTACGACGGCCTCAGCCCTCCCGCCTCACGGACCTGAGCCCACAGAGGCATCGGGATGTACATGTCAGCTTCGGCAACCTGACAGGATTCACACTGACCCAATTTTATTGGGACAAGTGCATCCCGATCTGCCCTATACATGAGAGGAGTTCGAAAGACTCTTGACGTAGGCAGAAAAGGCTCTTGTGGGAGTCGGTTAAGACTCATGACGGAAGCTACGGGCAGTGATTCGTTTCATCAAGACTCCTCGGAAGCGGGAGGTTCTGAAAGCCACTGGATGGCTTGTCGCCGCTGGGCGTCCTTCTCCAGGACTTTAGACGTGTCAAAAAGCTTGAAGCGGCCTTGGGAAAGTACTGTTCTCAGCAACGTTGCGTCCATGACTTTGGTGAGGCAGTCGGCTGCCTGAAGAGTGGTGGGAATCCACCTGAAGCATGCATTCTCAGCACATCGCTGCTTGATCAACAGTACTTCCAGTGTGGTCCTGTGCTCTTCACAAGCGGGCATTGCCAGGCGGGTGACAAGATCGAACAAGGACTTACAGTCAGTGACTATGACGGCTGTATTTAATTTCTTGAAACCTTCCTCTGGCTGTTGCCACTTGAAAGTGGGCACATGCACAACACCCCACAAGGCTCGCATCCATCCCAACATGTCCACAGCTTTGGACATTGCGTAGGCTTCTGCACTTAATGTGGACCTAACAACCCTAGGGATTTTCTTAGAGGTCCAGGTAAGAGGGGACAATGGAGCTTCGCGGTTTTGGTTCAATCGGCTGTCTGTGGCGCATACAAGTGCTCCCTGATGGGAATTAAGGTTCTTCGATGATGCAAAGGATGCATCGCCGAATGACACAAAGGTGATGTCTTTAGGAGGAATTGGGAGAAAATGTATGCTCACTTGCTCTTGCTCCTGGGTTTCTCGCAGCACTTTATTGGCTTGCAAAAGAGTCTGCACACTGGCCTGAGTGATTTGACCTTGAAGCTCGCCAAGCTTTGCTGCCATGTCGGGACGAGTGTGAGTCACAGCATACTGGAGACTTCCCACCAAGCCCCGCAACTTTGATCTCTCAGATTCTGTGACAAGGGCTTCGGGGTTTACTCTACGGGAACGGCCTATGTCGATTTGCGGGATGTTTCGGACATACTCACCTTGGGAAGCACGAATAGAGTAGTCTGGGAACTGCTCAAGGTGGATACCGGTAAAGATGAAGTTTCGGAACTTTCGGCTTCCAAAGGGCAGCTTAGTTTGGAGAGCTTGAATCTTTTGGGTAAACTTGGAATCTCCGCCGCATACTCCATCATCTACGTGAACCCCTAGGATACCGTTCAAGACTCCTTCGGTATACAGCAAGAACACACATGGCTCAAGTGGGTGCTGAATGAATCCTAGTTCACGAAGTTGCTTACTGAGCTCTTTGTAAAAGAGCAGCGGCGCGTCAACCCGTCCATAAGCATTGCCCAAAAGTTGGCACACTTCTTCATCGCTCATTCCCAGCTCCTTACGTAACTCCTTTGGGGGCTCCATAGCTAGAGGATTCTGCTCATCAGCTTTACCGCGGAGGAAGGCAGTTTTGATGTCGAAGGAGCTCAGCTCAAAGCGAGATGAGGCAATCGTCTGCAGAACCAAGGCACGGCCCTCTTTGGAAAGAGTTGGGGCATCCCTAACAACATCCGTTAACTTAGGATCCTGATACCCTAACACGACCAGGCGGGCCTTGGCTCGCCTTTGGGTTTCCCCAGGTTCGGGATTTTTCCAAGTAAGGATCCATCTGCTTTTAAGGATTTGTTCGGGGTTCAGCTGCTTTCTCAAGATACTCTTAATGGCAGACGTTTGAATCCAACATTGCAACTCCTTGGCCTTTGCTTCTTCGAACAGAATTTGCTCTGCTCTGGAAAGATCCTTCACATGTACCTCAGCTCGGGCTCTTTTGCCTATGGAGGCTAAGAGAGTGAGTTGTTCGGGTGCAGTTTCCTTGGCCCACTTCTTTAGGTCTTTAGCCCTTACTGGAATTTCAAGACAATAGGCTTGGTGCTCACTACACGTTAACGGCTGCTCTACAAAAGGGAGGTTGTCCTCGGCCAAGGGTGGCCCAGAGGCGCACGCACTGGTTTGCAACGTGGTGAAGGTTGTCAGTCCTAGATCATCGTCGTCTGATGCTCCCAGCGGGCTGCTCGCAAGAAAGATGTTTTCGGCTAGCAGTCCATCATCTTCATCTTCGGGGATTGGAACATTTGAGGCATCAGCTGGAGCTGTGCTAGGGGCATCGGACATTGAAGCTGGAGCTCCAGGGACGACGATTGGAACGGATTCAGGAATCTGAGAAGGGGCTGCGGGTCCAGGAGGAACACTGGATTCGCGCTCAACTTCTCGTCCACTGTCTGTTCCCTCAGGATTGTGGGATACTTGTGGGGTAAGTTCTTGTTCGGGTTGGGCGATTTCATCGTCATCCGCCGGTGTCGGGCGAGGAACAGCAGGGGAAGGTATGGGTACCATCACTTCGCCACTAGACTGTAGCTGGGTACTTGGCATCAGCTGAGCAGAGATGGTGTTAAGGCTGGTGAGATCAACATATGTGTTGGCACCTCCTGCGTTCTTAGAAGGTAGCTCAGCATCAGCAGCTGAAAGCTGCTGCCACTCACGCAGGCTTGCGGGTCTCAGGTTCTCTGGAGCGCACCGTAAAATGATTGTCCCGTGCGATACCCAAGTGATAGAAGACCCCTCCTGAGATATTACACGGGCGGGCCCGTGCCACCTTCCTGCAGCTAAGCGGTTAGGAGACCCTTTACGCATCCAGTACAGAACCCAGTCTCCCGGCTTATAAGGTCCACGCACGGGATTGCTGCGGCGCAACAGAGCACGACGGATGGTCTGACTGTTGTCAGAGTCCCAGAACACTTGTCTAGCGCGGCACCTTAACTCGAGACGCTTGCGGTGTCTTTCGGCCTCAAGATCTTCACCTTCAACCAACAAGTGTGACGCAAGATCGTCATCCGAAGTAATGCTACCTGGGATCCTAAGTGACTTACCAAGTACAATCTGCTCCGGGGCATATCCCTGGTGCCGAACTAGGGCATTCTTGGCCTGAAATGCTTGAAGCAACGCTTGGTCAAACAGGTCATCATTGGCCAGGGGGCTGTGTGTGTCAAGTCGACTCAGCATATCCTTGATGATATCCCCGTGTCTCTCAAGTTTACCCCGTTGCCAGGCCGCTGCTGTCACAAATGTCTTAATGTTGAGACCCTGAAAGTACTCTAAAATCTCTTCCGATCGGAATTCTCCTGCAGGGTCAAGGTAAACTCGTCGTGGGTTGCCGGCCCACGATAGCCAAAAGTCTGACAGGGCAGACGTGGCGTGTGTGGTGCCCCTGGTCAATGCCCGTCGGCCCAAGTGAAAGCACGAGGCCTCATCTAGAGCATGTAGCACATACGCTCGGAATCCAGACTTGCTCTTAAAGAAGAAACCATCTACCCCGATCAAGTCGTTGAACTCTAGGGCTTCAGGTAGTTTGCTGGGTCGTTGATGTCGGGGTTCCGTGGCTTCAAGACAAGCGTCGCACTGATAGTCGAGGGCTGCTTCTACCATTGCTGGCTTCTCTCCAGCTGCTTTAAGATGCTTGGCTAGGGTAGTCGGGGCTGGATGGCCAAGGTTGTTGTGTATGCGGATTAGTTGACTACGATCTTCTTTACTAAGATTCCGAAAGGCAGGCCCATGGATTGGAATGGGCGGCGGTGCCCATCCCTGCATGTCCGGCAAGGAGCCGGCTTGAGGAACACACCCCTCCGAGCTGCGTATTGAACTGCTTGCCTGGGTATCACCTGCTACGTTACTTTGGGGAACATCTGGGGAATCCTTAGACTTGCCGAAAATCGTCAAGAGTGTGTCCTGGGGTTCAATACGCATCTTCTTTCGTTCGGCTAACATCGTAGTGCGATCTTCGTTACCCAGACACAAAAGCTTGACCTGGTTATCAGCCGTTGTACGAAGTCCCAGACTAAGTCTCATTGGTGCTACGGTGGGTGGCAGGGCTCCAAGCGGGTGTTGTAGGTTTCGGACCTTACGACCCACAAAAGCTTGCAGTACATTAACGTTCTCGAGGACTTGCTGTAGCTTTCGGGCGGCTTCGCTTTCGGGAGGTATTAAAACTGTACCCTTAGTTGTCAAGTTAGCGGCTGATGTGAACACAGGCATCCACGTTGCCTCGGGCAACTCTGACATGGCATGCACGACACTGCTGCAGCGGCGCTTCGACTCTGAGGGCTGGCTGTCGTCTAGGGAATTTTCGTGGACACGCTTTTGGGGCTCTATCCTAACAACCGGGGCGGGACTACCTAGGGAGGTCTTAAACCGCTTACGGGTGGCAGGTATCCCACTCTCGACAGCCAATGCGGGAAACGCGTTTCCCGACACAATGACGGCGGCAACGTGCTCTGCAAATCCGTGACAGTATGTCCCGGCAAACTGTGACAAAGGCACCCCTTTGAGAACGCGGCCTGACAGAGGCTGATGAACATGATCTTCGGGGCAGATCTTACCTTGAAGACTCTTAAACATATCACGGGAAGTGCTAAACACCTGGATTCGTTTGCGGATGGGTTGCCTACTCACGGGAGACTGCAAACCAAAAGCGCACATGTCTACTTGGGATCTTATGGTCTTATCTACAAGCGGTCTAAGGGTGGACATATCCCTCACCTTGATCTGTCCAGGCAACTCCATATGAAAATCCCGTAAGTGTCGCCTCTGCCAGTCACAGAGCTGGACGCACAATCTGAGCTGCGCTTGCGAGGCTTCCCGGTCCTTCAACATTCGGGCATGGTGTTGGGTGCTACGAGCGGCATTGAGAGCTGACCAGGAGCTCCAGCAGCGACTCTCCGGAGAGATCCAAATGTGCTTCGGTTGGGTTCGTTTCACCAAATCCCACAAACACTGCTGTCCTTGTTCCGTAGCTAGATCGCCATCTAGGGTGGTAAACCTACGGGCAGATCCCCCACATCTATTAATCTCACTCGTCAACCGGCTATCTGGGGAGGCATGTATCTCAAGAAGATCTAGCAGTGGGACATTCGGTGAGCTCCACATGAGCTGGGATTGGCGATGAACCTCCTCGGCTCGCAGAACTGCTTCAGCACAGGCATGGGCAGCTCGCACGGCTGCCTGCTTCAAAGGCACATCCTCAGACAGTGGCTCGGGAAATCTCGACTCGCATGCCTCATTGGCCACTAGCGTGGATTCCTTTCCGAAATTAACCCGGCTAGGAAAGGCGAAACCATGGCGTCTTAACCAACCCACCTGACCCGTCCTAAGCTTATAGGCATGTTTCAGCGAGTATCCGATCGCCACTGTGCGGTCGCCTCTCCAGGGCATCGTCGCGTGCCACACATGAGGATCTAGTTTTAGGGAACCCTGACCGATTGATCTAAGGAAACCCTGAACCTGTTTACCGCTGCAGCTCATTGTCTGGGTGGCCTGAGGCTCATCGTCGGAGGTTCGGGCGACCCACACTTCACCCCCTTTGCTAGGAACCTTCACAGGTACTACCAAATTGGGATGTTTCGAGGAATTGTATTGATCTCGATGAGGACAAGACAAACTATTGCACGCAATCCCAATGGATGTAAAGCGATGTCGTGGATCGGTAAGCTGCATTAAACGGGCCAGGACTCGGGTTAACCAAGGGAACTTCATTGTTACGCGAGTTATCCCTACGACCCCGCCATGAATGTAAGTACCAAACACGACATAGGCGGTTGGCTTGCCGCTTCCCTGGCACGAAGGCTGAACGGTGCCTCGAACCGGTGAGAACCGACTCCGGATGGCATGCCAGGGGACCTGATCTAGGAATTCCTTTAGCCTGGTGGCACTAGCCTCGCTGTGAAGGAGCTCACGGGCCCGGGGCTCAACAGTTTGAAGAGTCACAGAACCTGACATGTTTGGAGTGGCCCTAGGCTGCGAACCGGCATCGGACGAACTCACTGAGCAGGTGGCGGCGACTGCATTTGTTGAATCGCGCACAACATCTGCTCCATCACATGCTCGATATGCGTCATGCGCGTTGCGAGCGCGGAAACTTGGTTGTCGAGAGCCGGCTCGGTCTCTCCACTCACGGACAGCAGATCCCACTGATCCACTTGTGCTTGATTGGATGATGCTGCAAGGGTCCGGCGTGGAGCGGCCTTCGGCTTCGGGCGACCGGCGACAGCCTTCGGAGCAGGCTCGGAGGCCCCTTCGTCGTGAAGGAGCTCTTTCTCGATCTGTTCTGCTTGTGAAACGTACTTTTCGACATATGTCAAGAATGCTTTGTGAGCGTGCTTTCCTGAGCTTTTGTAATGGTCTATGAACCATTTCACCCAATCCCCTTCGTTCTGGATCACGTCCTCGTACCTCTTTCCCTTCATTGCCTTGCCAAAGTCGATGACAAGATCTCCCATCCGTTCCAGCGACATTCCCTCCAGGTCCTCCAACGAGTGGTGGAGTGAGGGGTTCACCATGCGGGCGAAACGATCTGACAAGGAAGCGCTTTCCGATGGCATGCTGGCACGGGATGGGCTTTTGAAGCGTAGTGGACTGGGTGGAGTCCGCACGAATCTTGAGCTCAGGCACTGCTGCATTGTTGACACGTACATCTGTGGCATCAGCTGATGGGCTGGTGTTTGCAGACGGATCTTTCAACATCTGCTTCACTTCATCATTAACATCTCCTGGATATTTACAGGACTTCCTAAAACCTGAATTCGCTTGCCTTACCCCCTTACTGTCACAACCCTGGTCTGTACAGCTCTTAGTGTTTACGGAAGCATTGGGGTTGGCTGTCTCGGGCATGCATGGGGCTGTGCTGAAGTGAGGCTCAGGGCGATCTTCACTGGCATGATGGCACATCTGCTCCTGGCCGCTTTCCTCGCACAAGCGGGCTAGGTCTATCATGTAGAGACCGGTCGGTCCGGTGCTGAGCCGGAGGCTCTTCTGCAAACACTTCAGGTGGCACACGTCCTCACAAGTGTCGATTACACCTCCTAGCTGCTTAATGGCCTTCTTGCTAAACAACAGCGGTGTTCCACCTGGGACAATCTCAATGCTCAGCCACAAAACCTGTTGATGCGCTGCCCGGAATGGCAAAAGAACCCGCAACTCACTGGTAAGCGTCTGGTTGTTCCCAAACCGAAACTTAACCGCGCTTTTAGTGACCTTGATCATTGCCCGGGTGGCATCGCTCAGCTGACTGACGAAGGAAGAAAGGAGGCGCTTTCCCATCACACAGCGACTAGCTCCGGTGTCTAGGATAGCTCTTACAGGCTCATTGAGGACATACGCAACCGCATTTGGGGGCCTGAAGGAGCTTCTTGGGATTCGGAGCTGAGGCTGCATGTTGGTTGAAGCTTTCAGAGAGCCCGGACCTTCAGTCGAGGAGGCCTTCCCAGCGTTGCGCTGCCTGTTTTGCACGTGTTTGGGTTGGGCAGCTCGGGCTTTCAGGTTGGCAGCTACCCTTCTAAGGCTTCCAAGAACATGTTCCCTCTGGTCTAGGCATATTGCAACATTGGCCTCGGCCAATGGAATCGCATCCTCGGGCACCGTGGTAAGCACAGCCGCAGCTTGAGATCCGGAAGCCGCGTTGGCGGCGGTTTCCTCAATGACCTCAGTCACTGTGGTAGTGGCTGCCTCGCCTTTGCCACTCATGGATCCTGGACGTCCAAACTTGGGACATTCCGCTTTCCAATGTCCACGTTCTCCGCAGGCTCTGCACACGCTGCGGGCGATCCGCGCGAGCAACTGCTCGCGAGAGTTCTTGCCCTTTCCTTTTCCGCTCTTACCGCCCTTGAACGGACGGCCACCCTTGCTGCTTTGACCCGCACCACTGATTGGCCAGAAGCCTCGGCTCTTCTTCTTAGCCAACAGTCTGTTCCTTGCCTCAAAGTAGGAAACCAATGCCTCTTGCAAATCTGGTGTCTCCTGGAAGAAGCCTTCCAGCTCCTCCTCAAAGGCCTGAACCTGCAAAGCATCCTGATCTTCTGAAGCCACCATGGCCTCGAGATATTCAGGCTCCAGCTCATACTCATTCTCCTCGACGGCTGGAATGCTTGGAGATGCGGTTGCCTGGAAAGCTTTCTCGGGTTCATCGGTGCTGTCTTCTTCAAGGGTGTTGGCATCGTATACCTTGTTGCGCTGGCTGCTACGTTGACCTTGCATCTCTCCAAAGAATCTGGAACCCAGAAGTCTGATTGAGGCCTTCACCTTATCGTAAGTCAACTTTCCACTGTGTTCAATCACAATCCGCTTCTTGTCCTCACTGCTCAGCTGTGACTGGCGCAGTAGCACATACGATCTGAGCTCCTCAAACGAGATGTTCTGGGCTAACAACTCCTCGAAGTGAATATCATGTCTGGCCAGGTAGGAGTCATGAGTCTCATCGTTCCGCTGAACAGTACTGTAGATCGCTCGTTCGAACTGTTCATACTTCTCTTCCAGGATTGTCTGACCCCAGGCCCCGCCTAAGGTGGTAACAATCAACTGGACTCCCGAGGTGTCGTTGGCCTTGAGCTTAGCAGCATCCAACCTGCTAATCTTCTTGAATGCAGTACCCTCGCAGAGTAAGGCAACTCTTGGTCCCAAAGCACTCAAGTGTTCCTTAGGCCAAACCTCTGAGAGAAACTTGAGCTTCTTGGCATACTCCGTCGTGTCAGTTACCCCCGGCACATACCGAGGAATCGCCGCCCACGGAAGAGTGCTCTTCTCATCCGTAGAGGCCCCGGCCTCTGGCTGGCTTGATGGCTGACTGGATGACGGAGGCATCTGCCCCTGGATCCCGACTTTTCCACTAACAGCGGGCCGCCGCTTGATGTAGCGAAGTCTCAGGCTCCGCTACCAGTGTGAACTGAATACAGTTCCCACTGGCAGCTTCCAAAGAATCTCAGCAGTCTGAAGATTTGCCCCAAATCCAGCTGAAGAGAATATCAGAATGATAAGAGAGAAATGACAGACCCGGTCAGTCGATAACAAGTGCCCCGCACGTTTCACCAGCGCTCACCGGTCCATGCGTCGTCCTACGACGGCCTCAGCCCTCCCGCCTCACGGACCTGAGCCCACAGAGGCATCGGGATGTACATGTCAGCTTCGGCAACCTGACAGGATTCACAAGCGCCACACTCACGGGTGTGCCCTTAGCGTCCCGGACGTTGTCGGGCATGCCCCCCGCCTGGTCGATAGCGCGGTCCTGCTGGAGCTCGCGGCGTAGCAACTCCAGGTAGCGGTCCGGATCCTCGAATAGCGTGCTCCACGTGTAGTCGAACACATTGATTGTAGCGGCCGGCTGGCCCTTCCCCTCTCGGCCACGGCCAGGGCTAGCGGCCCGAGGGAACGAGGGGCTAGCGGCCCGCGGCCCGATCTCCATGAACTTCCTAGCGTAGCGGCCGACTCAGCCGGCGTAGGATCCACGGTAGCGGCTGCAGCTGTGGCAGCCGGTGCTGCCGTGGCGGCGGCAGTAGCGGCCACCGGGGCAGGATCGGTGCTGCTTGTAGCGGTGGCATCTCTGGTAGCGGCCTCCTCTGCGGCCTGCAGGGAGGCTTTGCTAGCGGCCACCGCCTGCTGGTACTCCAGCTCGGCGGCCTGCTCCTCCTTAGCGAGCCGCTCCGCGGCCTCTTTCCGCTTTTGCTCTAGCGCGGCCGCTGCGACTCTCTGGTCGTGCTCGGCCTTTTTCCAGCTTAGCGGCTATGGCCTCCGCCTCCTTGCGGGCCTTGGCCTTCGGCGAGCTGGTCTAGCTGGGCCTTTGCTGCAGCAGCGGCGGCCTCTGTAGCGGCGAACCTCTGCGTGAGGCCCGCTGACATAGCTGCATCCAAGCTAGCGATGTCGTCCTGGGACAGGTCGGCCCAGCTAGTAGCTGACAGAACTCGCCGTTCCATCATGTTAGCGGGGCTTCCGCGGAGGGTCTCTGGCAGGTAGTCGCCAGTAGCGGGCTCCTCGGCCGTAGCGGGGCCATCCGCTGGCCCTGCGCCCTTGGGCGACGTAGCTCTGGCATCCTTGCCTTTACCTCCCATAGCGGCGCCCAAGGCACGGATCGGGTGAAACGGCTAAAGAAAATCTAGCTACCCCAAGGTAGCGAAGCCGAGGGCTACCCGTGGGAGGAGGTTTAGCACAGTCACTGGCTCCTGCGCCTAGCTCCTTTGCAGCCCTGTTGCCTAGCGGGGTATAAAGCCCGCACGTTTCGTGGCGCCTTCCTCCGCTCCTTAGCTCCTTCCTGCAGGACGGACCTAGCGCAAGCACTGGCTCCTCTCCTAGCTCCTGTGTTCCCTGGCTGGCCAGAGGAGGGGTCTCCCGGCCCCGGTTTCCTAGCGCCTGCCTTCGCTCCTTGCTCCTCCTGCAAGACGCTAGCGGAACACGAAAGCACAACACAGGCACACAGCAAGTGACATGTAGCGAGAACGTGTTTCCCTCCAGCCCCCCCCCCCCCGAGCACACCCCCTTCAAAAACTAGCGGCGTTTCGCAAGGGAGGGAAGAGAGAGAGAGAGAGGGAGACAGAGGGGAAAGGAAAAGAGGGTGCCGACCTAGCAGCCTTTCTAGCCTCAGTGCGAGTGCGAGTTCGGCGGCTTAGCACGCCCTGCGCTCAAGGATGACTGCTAGCGGACCCCGGTGCGAGATCCTCTGGAGCCTCATCATCTTCCGAGTTAGCGAGCGATCCTTCGCTAGCGTCTCCTTCGGAGATAGCCCCTTGGTTCGGCCAGCATAGCTTGCACACATGTGTGTACTCGTGCGGCTCCGGAACCGAATCAAGAATCCTAGCGTTGCGGAAAGCACGTCGCTTCCCCATCCAACAACCTGTAGCGCCCGCCTTGTGCAGGCGGAAAATGGCACCTGGGACCTCTACGATTACATAGCTGCCCTGGCTGCGGTCGGGAACCCTGGCTTGCTTCTTAGCGGGCCGTTCCACGACCTCTGCAGAAGCCTCGGCGGCCACTAGCGGTTTGGCAGGCTCGTCCGGTCCCTCGGGAACCTCTAGCTCCTCCGCCTCGGTCGGGACTCCTAGCAGGCCCTCCATCCAGATCTTCCGCAGCCTCGCCGCCATATGGATAGCCTGGCTGTGGGTTAGCTTGGCCCTTTCCTCCAGCCAGGGCTCGAGATCCGCGGCGATTTCACGCTCGTCGAGCGCCTCGTAGCGGTCGTCCCCCCTAGCTGTCTTAGCGAAGAGAGCTTGGAGACGGGACACCCTACCCGCAAAGGACCTAGCGTACACGTCGGACCCCTCGGGTTTCCAACGCCCTAGCAGATCCTTGTCTTGCGGGGGGATCTCCTGTAGCGCCAAACCTGTTGGTAGCACCGAGCGCTCACTGTGCTCCGTCCAATAGCCCTGGACCTCCCGGGGGTAGCCCATGATAGCCAGCAGCCCCGCAGTTGCCACCATAGCGTCCGCGTAGGTAGCCATCTTCTTCTCCAGCTGCCCCGCCCGGCCCAGCCGCGGCATGAGGTAGTCCCGGGCGTAGTTAGCGTGGGCCTTCAGGAGATCAAAGCCGGTCACCAGCCAGCTCTTAGCGACCAGAAAGGCGTGCTCTGACACCACGACCGGTAGCTCCTTGACCCTTCTCGTAGCACCGGAAGTCTTGGTCTTCCGGAGGATGGTGGTGAGTCGCCCCTCCACCATCAATAGCTCGGCCGGCAGGATAGCCTGGAGGTCCGACCATCTTAGCGTGGCCCAGACCTTGACCAACTTAGCCCAGGCCCAGATTCGCCGGCCTGCCGCCAGACCGGGTTGATGACCACGAGCTCTAGCTGCACCAGCATGTAGACGGGGTAGCGGGGTGCTCTCTTGATCAAGGGGGCTCCCTCCGCTAGCTGCTCCACTATGCTGTCCTTAGCAGCCCAGACCAGGCGACCAAAAGTGGTCCTTATTAGCTCCACCGGAAAGTCGGCCACCTTCTCCATCCAGGAGATAGCTTTAAGAATAGCTTCAGGAACCGAACGGCCGCAGGGTTCATCACTCCTAGCGAGGAGATAATCCACCAGGTCCGCGGCGGCGGTGCCCGGGGGCGGCCTGAGCTTAGCGGCGTGGAGCCATTGGCGCCACTGTCTGTAGTAGCTCAGGTAGCGCTTCAAAGTAGAAGCCCGTGTCTTCCCCGGAAGCAACATAGCTGCCCTCACGGGGTCCAGACTCCCGTGCAGCTTAGCGAGAACAGGGGCGTGTATCTCTAGCAGCTCCTCACGGAGCTTCCTTGCCCAGACCTCTAGCAGTCGCTCCTCCCTAGCCGCACTGATCGTGCTGGGCTGTAGCGTCTTTCGATTCCGTTCCTTGGGGGGAGGTCTTAGCGGCACCGGAGGCTGATGCACCGCGTCTTCGACCTCTTCCCTTGGAGCCGGTAGCGGTGGCATCCGGGCCCTCCAGGTGATATCGTCCTGGAAGTAGCCGTGCACCCTCTGGTAGACCGTAGCTTCCTGTCGCGCTTCCTGCAGCCAACAGTAGACGCCATCCCATAGCCACGGCTGGTATGGAATACCTAGCTCTCGAGCTAGCTGCTTGGTAACATCCTCTGCGTCGTCTAGGTCCACCACAGCTAGCTCCAAGACCCCAAACCCCTGGCTGGAGAGATGCCGGTAGGCCCTGTCTAGCGTGCGCCTACGTTCCTGTTGGACCGTAGCCTGCGCATCTAGCTCTGCCTCCACCTCCCAGCCCTCGAAGAGCACTCCCGTCTCTTCGGGCTGCGGGTCACTAGCTGGGGTCTGCGGGACCCACGAGGGTACCTCCCCAAAAGGGGGCCCCCGCGGTATCGTCCTCCCCTAGCGTGGGGACCTCAGTGGGACACGAAGCACTTAGCGGGGGCGGGGAATCCCGTAGCTGCTGCACCATCTGGCGTGGTTGGCGCCAGGGTAGCGTCGCTGTCCGACATCGCAGCGCACCCGAAGCATGTCTAATTAGCCCTGTTCCCCTTCCTACCCACTCGAAATTTGCCCCCCAATAGCTGGGGGCCTTTCAGCACAATGGCCACGGGGTAGCACTGCTTCACCGGCCATGTGCAGTCACTCTAGCAAACAGACAATTCGTTCTGTTTAGCTTCAGAGGAAAACCCCTTCGACGTTTTCTAGCGAAACACCTTCGATGTTTCCCAAAGGGGATACTAGCGCTAGCATACACTGTCGTACCTCGTCCCTCGGCACGAGTGCGTTTTTGCCTGCTTTTGCCACGGTGAACCCTGTGTGTAGGGTCTTTTTGGGAGTGATCAATGTAAAACTTGGTGGAGTGTAGTGGATTCTTCTCTCGGTACCATCTTGCCAGAATGCTGTATGCGGAGAGAAAGCGGCTCTTGTCTACTGATGTGAAGAAGCCTGCCAAGTCCTGATTGTAAAGGACATATTCTGTTGTGTCTCGCAGCTTCCTTCGTTGGTGTAGGAAAAGTGCTGTTTGCTTGAGTTGTGTGATGCCATCTCCCTGGTGAACGGAGTCGGGGCATGCTTGAAATGTCATCAACTGTAGTACATCAGCCAATGCTTCCCACAGTTTTCTGCCCATGGTGTCTATGAATGCCACTACGGGGCGTCCTTTTGCGTTTTGCTTTTTGCGCTTGGGTAAGATGTAAGCGCGGGGAATGCGGCCCCATTGCGGAAAGGCCCATGTGTAGGCCGGTAAAAGAGCACATACGTCTGTGTAGACGTCGAAGTGGTGTTGTAATGGCGGATGTTTTGAGATCTGAAAGATCTCTTGGTCTAAAAATGTGTTGTGAATGGCAGTGTGGTACAGTGCTGGGCAGTACCATGTGAGTCGGTTGGGGAAGTGATCTTCACAATGAGTGATGCCGTCAGGTATTTTGTG